TGCCGGCATTCTGCCCGGGCGTGGAATTATCATGACGTAGGCGCCGCTCACGAGACCTCTCACACCGGGACACTGGGAATATCGGGAGAATGAAGTCGCGTACGCAACTATTTTACCATCATCGGCATCGTGAACGGCTTTTCTGCCATGGATCAAGACGGACTCTTGGCGTTAAGACCGGACTCCGCGCTAATCGGCCGATCAACAGTTCAGCGTTACTAAATAACCGTTGTTTTACCGGCGGCAGGCTCCTCGACCTTCTCTATGACATGTTCCAAGGAGCACGAGGCTCGGTTTTCAGCGTAAATCATGACCCGAGGGCGAAGAACAGGGCCGATTAGATGTGCGGGGAAGCCGGGGGCACTGGGACAGAGTATTCTTTCTCTCCGATTTGGGACGACCAGTTCCACGGCCTTGGCCCCCAGAGTCCCCTCAATTTCTGAGTGTTCGTGAAGAGATTCCCCCAAAGAGCTACTCCAACCGCCATCACGAAGAAATTTCAAAGAAAAAACCTGCGTCTAGAGTCCTCTAGTGTCGGCGCAATGTCGGACCTCCACACAAAGTCGTGTGTCCCAGTGGTCCACTCACCTTAACGGCGGGGGCGGGGGTGGCTGGGATTAGGCCGGGGGCGGTCTTCTGCTCTTTGAAAAGCCGGTACGGAGCAAGCTTTGAGTGAGGTGAGAGAGTGTTCGGACCGGGGGTTCGCTCAGGAAAACAAAAGCTTGGAGTCTCCAGGTTTTCCAGCTGTCACCCGATCCGCATCCCCCACATATTGGCTCGTGTTCCTTGTCCCGCCCACAGCGGCAGTTCTCCGGAAGTTAACTTTGAATGCTACGGCGCAAACACCGACAGTCAGGCGCGCTATTTGTGATTATTACTCCATTCTACTCCGTACTCTAGAGACTCTGCCCGTCGTCGGTAAAGCGACCCCATGTTGGCATCCAGCAGTCGGCCTGATGCGGAGTTATCGCTGGTAGTTCTGGAAGCCGGGCGGTGAAGGATGCTGAGACCTGATGAAAGAGTCGATTGTTCTAGAGGCCCAATGACTCGATCTTCCCGCTCAACAGCTGTTCCAGCGATTCTATGACTAGTCATATCCGCCGTTAAGAGAATTACACCCCACAACCCATTTGACGATTTGTGGCCACCTCTAGTCAGACTGGAGACTCGGCAAGATTCCGCCTCCCCACGTGTATAGCAGAGCCTTTTCCGGACCTTGCCGTCGTTTTGGCAACCATCTGGAGACTAAACCTAGTGTAGTCATCGCGTGCGTCGCTGGAAAATCTACGGCTGATTACCCTGCCCAATATCCCACCACTTCGCGCCTTGGTGAGCATCTTTCGGGTGTCAACCGGTGCGGGGCCGACTTCCGGACCATGACGATGTGCAGTACCAATGGGAACGCGATCATGATCAGGTTTTCCCCGACCTTGTCGTTGCCCGCGCGGAGGTTACGGGGAAGAGGAGGGGTCTATCCAGGTCACCGGCGAGCAGAGTGCGAGGGCGACGAGGGTATGGTGGACTGACGTTGCTGCCGACGATGAACAGGTAACATATAAAGAACGGCATGTAACCCCCAATCAATGGGATTTTAGGATCTTCAGCACAAGCCGCAAGTCAACAGCTCAAGGATCTCAAAATGTCCGCAGCTCTGTCTCTCTTCCTATCCGGTCTTCTGTTGGCACCCTCAGTCAACGCTCAGGCGTATGACTCTGGTGACCGATCTGAAGATGCCTTCAGCTGGATTCAGCCGGTGAACACCACTATCCTCGGTCCCTACGGGGACTCTGAGCCAGTCTATCCTTCCCCTAAGTTTCTCGGTTCTCTAAGTTTGGTAACAGATTAACTAACTCAACGATGAAGCCAACATCACTGGTACCGGTTGGGAGGATGCCCTCGCTAAGGCAAGGGAGTTCGTCTCTCAACTGACCATCGAGGAGAAGGCCGACATGGTCACTGGCCAACCCGGTCCCTGCGTCGGAAACATCGTCGCTATCCCTCGTCTTGGTTTCCAGGGCCTCTGCCTTCAAGATGGTCCCCTGTCCATCCGTGTTGCCGACTACGCCAGTGTCTTTTCCGCCGGTGTCTCTGCTGCAGCCACCTGGGATAAAGATATCCTCTACGAGAGAGGTCTTGCCATGGGCAAGGAGTTCAAGGCCAAGGGCGCCCACATTGCTCTCAGGTTTGTCCATCTCCGTACACTCATTATGGCCAACACCTACTGACCACTCAAAGCCCCGTCGCTGGCCCCCTCGGTCGCAGTGCCTACTCCGGCAGAAATTGGGAGGGCTTCAGTCCCGACCCTTACCTGACTGGTGTCGCCATGGAAAAAACTATCACCGGTCACCAGGATGCTGGTGTCCAGGCTACTGCCAAGCACTGGATCCTCAACGAGCAGGAGACCATGCGCAACCCGACTTTCGACCCCAATGGTACCGCTACAGACATCGAGGAGCAGGCCCTCTCCTCCAACGTTGACGACAGAACCGCCCACGAGCTCTACATCTGGCCTTTCGCCAACGCTGTCAAGGCCAAGGCTTCTTCCTTCATGTGCTCTTACCAGCGTATCAACGGTTCCTATGGATGCCAGAACTCCAAGTCTCTGAACGGTCTTCTGAAGACTGAGCTTGGATTTGATGGTTACGTTATGTCCGACTGGGGTGCCACCCACACTGGTGTTGCTGCCATTGAGGCCGGTCTCGATATGGATATGCCTGGCGGCATTGGCAGGTACGGCATGGACTGGAAGTCTGGATCTTTCTTCGGCGGCAACGTCACTACTGCTGTCAACAACGGTACTCTCAACGTCGCCCGCGTTGATGACATGATCGTTCGCATTATGACTCCTTACTACTGGCTCAACCAGGACAAGGACTACCCCACCGTCGACCCCTCCTCTGGCGACCTCAACACCTTCTCCCCCAGATCCACCTGGGTTCGCGAGTTTAACCTCACCGGCGAGCGCAGCCGTGATGTTCGTGAGAACCACGGTGAGCTGATCCGCAAGCACGGCGCCGCCGCCGCTGTCCTCCTCAAGAATGAGAACAAGGCTCTTCCCCTCAAGGCTCCCAAGTCCATCGCTGTCTTTGGCAACGATGCTGGCGAGGACACTCAGGGATTCTACAACCAGGCTGACTTTGAGTACGGCACTCTCGTCGCTGGTGGTGGCTCCGGCACCGGTCGTCTGACCTACCTTGTCACCCCCCTTGAAGCCATCAAGGCTCGCGCTTCCAAGGATGGTGCCCTCGTCCAGCAGTGGCTCAACAACACCCTCATCATCAACTCCAATGTCACCGACCTCTGGGTTCCCAAGGCCCCCGAGGTCTGCCTCGTTTTCCTCAAGACCTGGGCCGAGGAGGCCGCTGACCGCCAGCACTTGAGCGTCGACTGGGACGGCAACGACGTCGTCGAGAGCGTCGCCAAGGACTGCAACAACACCATTGTCGTCACCCACTCTTCCGGCATCAATGACCTCCCCTGGGCCGACCACCCCAATGTCACCGCCATCCTCGCCGCCCACTTCCCTGGCCAGGAGTCCGGTAACTCCCTCGTCGACGTCCTCTACGGCGATGTCAACCCCTCCGCCAGACTCCCCTACACCATTGCCCTGAACGGCACCGACTACAACGCCCCTCCCACCACTGGCATCAACACCACCGGCTGGTACGATTGGCAGAGTTGGTTCGACGAGAAGCTCGAGATTGACTACCGCTACTTCGACGCCCACAACATCTCTGTCCGCTACGAGTTCGGCTTCGGTCTCAGCTACACCACCTTCGAGGTCGCTGACTTCGAGGCCAGCCCCGTCGAGCAGGACATCACCTCCGCCCCTGAGCAGCGCCCTGTCCAGCCCGGTGGAAACCCCGCCCTCTGGGAGACCATCTACAACGCCACCGTCTCCATCACCAACTCTGGCGATGTCGAGGGTGCCGCCGTTCCCCAGCTTTACGTCACCTTCCCCGACTCCACGCCCGCCGGCACTCCTCCCAAGCAGCTTCGCGGCTTCGAAAAGGTTCCCCTTGCCGTCGGTGAGACCAAGAAGGTCGGTTTCGAGCTCATGCGTCGTGATCTCAGCTACTGGGACGTTGTCTCGCAGCAGTGGCTCATTCCCGAGGGCGAGTTCACTCTCAGCCTGGGATGGAGCAGCAGAGACTTGAAGGCTACCGCCCAGATTACCCCTGTGCAGGCGTAAGTCTTTGGTTATTTAGTAAATATTTAAGTGGAGGATTGATACGATGGACGAATTATGACTCTGGATAATATTAGTAATGTCTGGATAACAGTAAACTAAATCTTTTTCACGTTCAAACAAGTCTGAATACCGACAGTGAGCATCCCATGACCATAGTTCGTAGCACCTGGTCACTTGGAATGCGTGAACACCAAGTTGGATGGTGTGACAGGCTGTGCTCAATAGACTTGATCTCAACATTGACTATACCATCTGGGACAACAAAATCGACCCCTCGTGCGAAGTTCTTTCTGTGTATGCCCCATCTTGAAGGACCAAAGCCTTGTTGTGCCTTGCGACTCAGCCATCCGCTGGTATTCTGCGACGGACACATCCAAGGACGAGTAATTTCCAAGAGCAGCCTGCATCTAGCGTGCTTTTGTAAACTTGCCGAGGAAATAAGTCTAGGACATTCGAGACTTGCCACTCGTACAGCCAATCTTTTTTCTTGAGCATCTCCTTTTCACGCGAGTAGCAAATGAGCTTCGCTGATTACCACGGCTGAGACGCAGCCAAGCTAGGAGGTGCTTCCAGCTGAACAACCTAGTGAGATTTCGGTGAGACAGAGTCCAATCCTACTGGCTGTGAACGCCCTACCAATCCTCTAGAGCCTGATAAAGATGTCGCCGACCCTTTTCCCCATTTGCGTAGCACCTGTCTCGAGGTCAATTTCGCATCTCTCATTCTGTTACTGTCCATTCTTCCGGAGTAGACCCTCCGTTTTTCTGGATTGACCGACATCATTCTAGAGAGTCATCTTGTACCAGGAATGGCAGCAAATGTTGATGAAGTCAGAAGCCCTGGCGACGTGAGCATTAACGAAACTAGGGCAGTGCCGACTACGGATGAGCAAGATGATCATGATAGTATCCACGGACAATCGCTAAATAACGGGCCACAGAGACAAATATCCCTAGGCAAGCGAGCGCCGACGGAACCAATACCGGAACGGACGTGGAAGTTCTACCTAGATGCCTCTTGGGCACTGTATTCGTACGAGAACATTCTTAGTCAACAAAATCAGTGCATCCGTTCACGACGAGGACACACAAAACCCCAATTTGAGGGTCGCGATGTACTTTCTACTTCTTTCGGGATCTCGTGCGAAGGCAGATTTCCGTATCCAGCCGAGTTTCGACAAGTGGCAAAGTTGGATGGAGGGCATGATGTCGAGACAGGAGGTGCTGGTCCATCAGCCGAACGTTTGCCTAAAAAAACTACAAACTTAAAAACCAAAGAAATAATATTTAATACTCGTATGTTTAGTATATCTCGGACGTCTTTCTATCGGATTGGAAGTCTAATTCGATAGCAGCATACGGCTAACTACGTAGGGACTAATTAGGGGCCCTATTTATAATTATCGTAGCTAGCCTAACCTACGGTTAGAACCTCTTTTTTATACTTATATAAAAATTTATATAGTTTAATTAATCTTTTTATTAACTTATAATTTAAATTAATTACTTTATAATAAGGATATTAATACTAATTAGTAATTAAATTCTATTATTATAAATTAGTAAAGTATTTTATTATGTAAAAGAGACGATTTCTTAATATTATATAAGATAGGAGATTTATACTAATTAACTTTATAAAAATAAATAAAAAAAAAGTAATTTTTAAATACTATACGGAATTAAGTAATCGTAGCTTTTTATTATTAATAAAAAGTCGACGTTTATTATATTAAATTATATTAATTAATAAAACTACTTAAGTAATTAGTTTTTTATTATTACTTTAAATAGCTTTTTTATTTAACTACTTCTTTACGGCCAGCTTATAATTAAAAATTAACTAGTTAAATTAATAAAAAAAAATATTTATATAATAACTATTTACTTAATTAATTAGTATAATAAACGAGCTTAATAATATAGTATAAAAAAGTACTACGTAATTAAAAAAAAGGATTTTTAAATATAAATATTTTTATTTAATAATAAAAATAACTTTATAAAAATTATAAAACTAAGAAATTTATAATAAATAAAAAGGTTTATTATTATAAAGATTTTATAAATACAACTATAAGCTTATGATTTAAATAACCTCTTTATAGCTCCCTTAACTACCCCTTAAATATTACTTAAGAATATAATATAAAAAACGGTTTTATAAAAAAAGAGGGGATTTAGAAGTTTTAATAATATTAAGCTAAGAGTATTATAGATTTTAAAAATTAATTTAAAAAAAAAGTAGTTATTTTAAAGTAGTTTTATAACTTCTTATTAAAGTTATAATTAGCTTAAAAAAAAGTTAAAAAAATAAGGATTTAAAGGGAAATTTTTTTTTTTTTTAAAAAGTTATTAAAATTTTTTTTTTTATATTAGCTCTTAGTATAAGAATATTAATTTTAAAAAATTAACTAAGTAATAAAAAGAATTATTAGTAAGTAATAATTATTTAATAATAATTAAGTTATAAAAAAAACTATTTAAAAAATATAAAATAGGGTACTAAAAAGTAGTTAAAAAAAAGATTTTTAAAGTAATTAACTTTATTTAGTACGAGTAACGAAGTAATAAGTATTTTTAATAAGTCCTTTAAGTCCTCGATTTTATAAAAAAAGGGCTTAACTTTACTAACCGTACTTAACTACTTATTTAGCTCTTAATAATTTATTTAGCTCTTTTATAAGCTACTTAGTATTTATTTTTAATTATTTTTTTAAAATATTATTTTAAAAAAGGTAGGTTAAAAAAAGAAGTAATTTAGAAATTATAAAAAGTATAAGGCTTAAGAAGTTAGAAATATATAAAATAATAAAAATTAGTAATTAGTAAAGATCCTAAAATTAATTATTATATCTTTTTATAGTAATATAAACGTCTATTATTATTATTAAAAAAAGAACTATTAAAACCTACTTTTTTATATTAAATAAAAAAGAGGATTTTAATAAGTATAATAGCTAGCAATTTAAAAAAGTAATAGTAATTATTAAAAATAATAAAAACGAAAATAGTAGCGAAATAATAAAAAAAAGTAGGAATTACTTAGACTTTAATAAATTCGTTAAGTAGTAAAAGTACGGATTTATTATAACTAGCGCGCGGATTAAATATATTCTTATTAAAATTAAATATATTAATAATTATTAATATAAATATAAGCTAAAGTACGATTTTTAATAAGTTAAAGTAAAAGAGGAGAAAAAAAAACCCGATTTTAAATAAAATTTTAATCCTTTATAAATAAATAAATATTAACCTAAATTATTAGGGGATATAAATATATAAAATCGCGGATTAGCTTAATAATAAGTAAATTAACGTAGTATTAATCTATTTAATTAAGGTTTATAAAAAAAGGGGCTATAGGGGTAACCCTTATTTTATAAAATTATAAACGACCTTAATTATTAACTAGATAAATAGTTTATAAGCGTAAACTTAAGAATTATAAAAGTAGTTAATAAATTCTTTTATAAGTAAGGGGTATTATTAACGTAATTATAATTATAAAAACTATACGAAATTTTAATAGCAATAATTATAAAAGAGGAATTTATATTATAAAACTAGGCGTAGGTTAATAGAGCGTATAATCGCTTTAATAAATTTAAAAAAAGGGTAAATAACCTAAATTTCTTTTTTATAATTACTAATAATAATTTATTATTATAAAAGGATATATAGAAGTAAAATATAGTACTAAAAGTATAATAATTAATAATTCTATTTATTTTAATTTATAGCTCGTTATTATTATTAATACGAAATCCGGTACTAATTAGTTAATAAAAAAGGAAATAAATAACCTAAAATTATTAATAGTATATAATAACGTAGGGATTATATATAAATACTAAAAATATAGTAATAAATACGAAGTAATTTATAAATTTTAAAAAAGTCTTTTTAAAAAAGAAATTATACTTTAGGGGGAAGTACGAGGTTTTATAAAAAACCCTAATAATATTTTATAACTACTATAAAAAAGTCGGGATTAGAGAATACTAGTACTATTTAGTAATTAATATCGTACTTATAAATAAAGCCTCTAATTATTATTACAAAGTAGTACGTAATTTTAATTAGAACGACTTTTTTAATATTATTAATATAATTCGAAGCCGCTTTAAAACTTATAATAAAAATCTAGAGCTCCTATTTAAATTATAAGTAATTTATTTTATATTTATAACTAGGATAATAGAGGGTAAATTATAAATAAAAATCCTTAAAGAGCTTATTAATTAAATTAATAAGTTAGTAAAAACCTAGCTAAATAAGGGGATTAATAAGTAGAAAATTAAACATTTTTATACCATAATTTAGTACGTATTAAAAATAAAAATAACCCTATATTAAGTATTTAAAAATTACGAGATGTTTTATTTAAAGTTAAGATTTAGTTTTAATATTAAAGCGAGAATACCGTACTAAATATATTTCTAAATATATAACGGCCCTTATTAATAATATTAAGTTAATTAGATATATAATAAAAAAAAGAAAGAGATTAAGTACAGTAATTACTAATAAAGAGGCCTAGATTTATTAAATAAGTAGAAATTTAATTCGTAAATAGGGTAATAAAAAAAGTAATACTTTATTTATAAAAAGAATAAATATTAGTTAAATAACTACTCTAAAAAAGAGTATATTAAATTATATAAATAATATAAAAAGTTAAGAATAATAAACGGTAAAACTAGCCCTTATTAATTTAACTAATTCTTTATTATATATAAAAATAAATTTAAGAGTATAGAACTTAGTAACGGTAGTTATAATAGTAACTTAGAGTATCCGCCCCTTATAAAAAATTTAGAAAATAAAAAAAATCTTACCCCTTATATTAATAAATTAAATTATAATAAAATTAATAATATTAACTACTCTTTTTTTATACTATTAGCTTTTAGAGAATATACGAGGCTAAATAAATAAAAAGTAGTAAAAGCCCTTAATAAGTAGGCTTTTTTTTATAAATAGTAAGGGAAGGTCTTTTAAATAGTAAATATAGAGGAGGATAAAAAAATAAATTTAATAATATAAAATTCTATTTTCTTAACGCTTAAAAAGAAAATACTATTTTTATTAATATTAAAAAAAAAAGATAGTACTAAGTAATTCTAAAAGTAGCTAGAGGGGCCCTTTTTATATTACTTAAATTACTTAAGTACTAAGCTTATATAAGTATTTTATATAAGCGAAAAGTACGGCCTAAATAATTTTTATAAGATTATTTTAAATATTAAAGTATTATAATAGTTAATGAAAAAAAAGGGGTAATTCTAAATATTATAAAAAATCGTATTAATAATACTTAATATATTAACGGTAAGTATTATAAAAATTAGCTTCGGCCTAAGTAAAAAAATCGTTACCCTAAGTATAATAAAAATAAAAACGTACTTCGGAATAATAACTTTTTATATTTTACTTATTAATACCCTATTTCTCTTATATTTAAAAAATATAGATTAACTAGGTATTATTTTTAATAATATAAAGAATAAATCTTTAGTAATAAGTATTTTAAAACGGTCGAACAACGATAGGGGTATATATTTATAAGGCTTATTAATAATATAAAATTAATTAATTATCTAACGGAAAATAAGCTTAAATAACTATATTAAAAATTTAAGTACCCGTTAATTACGAGGTTATATAGCCTCTTAAAGTAATTAAATAATAATAATATCGAAATAGGGGCGCTAGAGTAGTTAATAAAAGTATATTATTAATACTAAATAAATACGTAGAGCCTACGCAGATTTAAATTTAAATTATATAATAAGCTTAATTTTAATTAGGAAATCGTTATTAATATTTTCTATTTAAATAGTCGACCGGTCCTATATATAATTAATAAGGCTATATTATTTTAAATAAGGTAATTCTTTAGGATTTATAAGTAAAAATAGTATAAGTAGCCCTATAAAAAAGCTAGATTAATATATACTAAGGACTACTAAATAGTATTAAAACTAATATTAATACGAGTTTTAAGTTAATAAACTTTAAAGAAAATATAACGGCCTATAGTATATAATTAAAAATCGTGCCCGTAAAAGCGCACTATAATATTAAAAAAGTAAAAAAAGTATATTAATAACTAAAAAGGGTATTTAAAATTATTAAAAAGAAAAATCCCGATTTTATTAATAATAAATACTTCTAAATAGTACTTAAGTATTATAATAATACTATAGGGCTTAATAAGCTTATACTAACGCTATTAATATTTAGAATATATTTAAGAATAACTTTAGCCTTATTACTATTACTAAATATAAACTAATAAGCCCAAGTAATTAAAAAAATAATATAAGTACTACGCGAAGTAAGT